AAGTGGAGAAAGAAAGAAGCAAATGAAGCCAAAGGTGGGAAGTAGTAAAGTTCGATCGATCCAACTCCAAGGTTCGATCGATCGAACAATGATCGATCTCAGCACTTTAAGATAGATCCAAGCCTTGGCCCAAAAGCATAAAGTCCAAAAATTCGATCAATCCAACACCACCTTTCGATCGATCCAACACTTTTATCATTATTCAAATGATTGATCCGATCCACAGTTGTACCACCCACTAACCACTTTTGTCCTTTTCCCATAAATATCTCCCAAAATATCTCAAATTTGTCGTTTCCCAAAAAGCTCAACCAGTTGGATCGATCCAGCCTTAGTTCGATGGGTTCGATCGATCCAAGTCCAAGGTTCGATCAATCGAACTTCTTCTAGTGCGAAAAAGTTAAATTTTCATCTCATTAAAAGTTGTCCTTTATCCAATCATTAGGGAATATTGTGTGCACGACCCCAGCTCATTTTGGGTGTCATTTTGACCTACTTATATAAGGATAAGGATTGCTTTTTACAAAGGACAGCCAATGTCATTTTCATATCATCTCTTGGAGAACAAGCTTAGAGGAGAAGGAGGCTAGAGACACCATTGGAGTTTTTCATCAACAAGGAGCAGATTTCAACCATGGGGTTAGCCCTTGAGGGTTGGAGCAACATTACCATGAGTGGCTAGAAATCCTCTTGGGGCTAGAGTTAGCCCTAAGCATGCTTTCTATATCTTAATCTTGTGTATTATTGAGGGATTAGTGTTGTAATTGATATTTTGACACTTTGATATATATAGATCTTGTTTATTGAATGATTTATGTGGTTTAATGCTTCCAATTGATCATTTCATTCTTTCCATATATCTATGTATGCTATAATAGATGTTTATGTGCTTGTCTTTAGATTTTGTGTTATTGATGCATGTCTATGTGTCTTGATGTTATAGATTTAGAGATTGTCAAAACATAGTGCCTAAAAGAATGCTCTTGTGATTTTCTTGATGGTTCAAACTTATTCCTTGATGGATTGTGCCTTTCCCCTTATTTATTTTCATGCTAGTAGTGTAGATATAGTGTAGTTGTAGTGTAGTGTTAAATGGGAGGACAATCTATGTTTGTTGTTTGATGATCCAAGCTTTTGAATGCAAGTAGCATATGTCTCTATCCATGTGTTGTATTTGGATTGTGAGCTTAATGAAAGAATTAATGACTTGTTTTGATCTATTGTTCCTTTCACATGTTGTTTAGACAATATATACTTCATTGCTTAGATATATTGTGCCTTTCACATGATGTTTAGACAATACATGCTTAATGGGTCATCCTTGCTTGATGAACCAACCAAACACACACACAGACCAATATTACAACACACCATTTGCCCTCATTAATCACTTGTCAATGGTATAGAAATGCATTGCTTGGTGGTGATCTCTAAACCCCAAGATCTCTCTCTCTTTTGCTTACTCTGAATTGCATTCTTTTGTTACCATTTAGTTTAATTTAGTTGCTCTCTAATCAACCAACCAACCAATTTTTTGATCATTCAACCTACTAACCCTAATAATGATTCCACGACATTGTTCGATCCTCACAATCCCTTGGGACGATCCCTACTCGCCCTAGCTATATTTATAGTGAAAGGTAGTAGTGGCTTCTATAAATGTAAAACTTTTGGCCCTCGCCTTACAATACGCACACTCTTCAAGCTTGATATGGTGTAGCGACCCTCACAAGGACCATATCAAGGTCTTCCGATCATAGGAGACCTGCAATGGAGAAATGTGAATTCCTTTCCAGAAGTATAGCAAGGAAGGAAGCTTATTATGAGGGGACATCATGTTCGAGTGGAAAGTATAGAAGATCCAGTGGAAGATATTGTAGAAATAATGAAATTTAGACTCATTCCAAACCCAAGTTGGTTTCAAAGGTATGGATTAGAAAAGGATATGAACAGCTTCATCCAGGGATGGTCAAGCCTTCCATCACTCAACTAGAGAGGTGGAAGAGAGTGGATCATCCAAAGTTTCCTATACATGATGATTTAGCCTTGACCCGAACTCAAATGTGTAAAATTCAAAGGAAAATAACTGAAAGGAGAAGGATATATCATGGGTGAACTAAGGACGATTAGAAGTTCAAAAATCTTCAGACCTAACAGAACATCCAGGGACATATATCTCGATGACTTGCTAGATCTGGTTTTAAAAGTTGGAGACTCCCTGATGGAGAGGATGTTCCAGTAAAAAAAGGCGTAGAGATTGAAATATCTCAAAGTTCCACCAATAACAAGAAAATCCACTTTGGAAGCCTAGCATATGAATTTTCTTGCAATATGGTGGTGATTCTTCCTTTGTTTTTTGAACTAAAGCCAAATCAACCCATTTTAATGGAAGGGGACGTGGTGGATACAAGTCCTTATCTGGAAAGTTCAAGACCGGTAGAATCTGAACCTTTTCTAGTTGGAATAAGAAATGACATTCAAGTGGAAGATGTCTCAAAAAATGATACTAAGAAAGTTCATGAGGAAAAGAATAACCTAAGTTTAGCATAATACAACCAGGCCACGCTAATGGAATTGAAGGATCTTGACAAGGTATGTCTTAATGCCTTAAATCATGTTATTATTCAAAAGGAGAATGTCATGAAGGAATATAATAAGAAGGTCAGAGTTAAGTCTTTTCCTAAAGGAAACTTAGTATGGAATGCTCAATTCCCAATTGGAATAAAATGTCAAAAATATGGAAAATGGATCTCAAATTGGGAAGGACTTTTCCTTATGGAACAAATCTTTAGAAAGGGTATATCTTAATTAATGTGTTTAAATAGTATTCTCCATCCAATTCCCATTAATTAGCCATATCTTAAAAGTACTACCCCTCCATTTATGAAGTACGTGAGAAGGAAATACAAGAATTGGCTGAATGAACAACCGGTATGAACCTTCCCACCTAGATAGAAGTGGAGGTTGGAAGGTTGAATAAGGTGTTATGGAAGATGCTTACTTTCCAATGGCCGATTCACTAGCCATGTCTTTTGAAATTTCTCAAAGCACCTAAAATGATTATACTGAATAAAACTAAGTATGAAAGGGCCAAATATTATTGCAAAAGGTACTTTGTCTAGTTCAGTTAGAATCTATACTTAAACTTCAAATAGTTAAAAGGTCAAAATTTTCAATCGACTTCAAATAGTTAAAAAGCTAAAGTTTTCTTTGGCAAGTTTGCTAAAAAAAATTTAAGTATGAAGTCAAGCATAAAAGTATAGAAAATGAGCCAAGTTACATGGCCTAAACTTATATTGACTTAGAGTTTTCTTAAAATCTTGCTTATTTTACATGCATTTCCTATTAGTAGTTAGTTTTATTTTTCAAAGTGCAATCTCAGTTGTAAGGAACAATGGAAGGTACAATGGAATCCATTGTGGAAAGTTTTTGTTATATGCCAAAGCCTCACTCAAAATATAAAATTCCACACCTTGTGATCGAGTACTCCACAAGGCATAAAATTTGGGAGGCAAGGTTAATACCCTCAGTATCAGCTACTAGAAAGGAAACACGTGGTGAGTTCCATTGGACTTGCCACACCAGATTAATATTCTAGGAAAGGAAGCTACACTGTAGGCAGTTCCACCTAACCACCCAAGTTTGAAGTATGGAATCGTTCAGATACTAACACGTGGCACTAAAGACAAGGTCAAAGGTAAGAAAGATCTGGTGAGATGAGAGTCCACCAAGATGATATATGTTGTAAATAATTACCACATAACAAATATCGGATTATCTTTATTTAAATTATGTTTGACGTAGTCATCAAGGAAGGTAACTACCTATTCCTAGAATATCTCTCACTTACCATGTAAATAGAAATTGGTCCAAATATCATGCAACTGCTATTACGTGGAGGACGTGTTAAAGGAAACGTATATGGAAGGAATCAAGTCCAAATTTACTATAGAAGAATTCTGGGAGTGTGTTGCTAAAATATAAATATTTTCTAAAGAAATGATGGGATTATGGGAAGTTACTGAAAAATTGGTGGGCAACACGTATAGAGTGTAATTAAGATATATAAAGAAAGAAACAACTCCATACAAATCAACAAGTTTGTCAATAACTGCCTAAATCATGCAACTCCCATTATGGGAAGTTGCTGAAATTATGGAAGATCATGATCCTTTCCACTAATGGTTTTAAAACATGAGTAAAAATTGTAACATACTTTCCACTACGAAATCCACTCTTGTAGAGGTGCAAATTAAGGGGGAGCATTTTTTACACATGTTAATATCAAAAGAAAAATGAGGAAAATGTGGGACACGTGGCATGATCCAAACCTTCCAGGTTAATTGAAGTTTCCAACTGCTACCGAAACTGTTTTTTCGTCATGTAGTTCCAGAATGTGAATAAAGGCTTACAACATGCATTCAACCACCAAGACCACTCTACATACATTGTAGATCATGGGAGAATATGATTTTACACATGTTAATACTTTGAGAAAGCTGGAGAAGACATGGACACGTGGAACAATCCGGACATTGCATTTGGAAGCATCCCAAACTGTTGCTGTAACTGCTACCATAGTTTTAACAGTTTTTTACCACACATTTTCTACAAGAAAAATAGCTTTTACCACGCACTTTCTACCACCATTTTAAAATAACTGTGGTAGAAGACCCTTCTACCATGATTTTAAAATATATTGTGGTAGATAGTATATTTTTTATCACTATTATTTTAAAACCGTAGTAGAAGAGCCTTTCTATCACTGTTAATGAAAAATTGTGATAGTAATTATATTTTTTACCATCAAAATTAGAGGTGACTTCGCCAAAACACAGTGAATTTATTACACCATGGTTAATGAAAAAACGTGATAGTAATTTATTCTACCACGATATAGTGAATTATTTTCACTCAAGTGTACGCAGGTCTTATTCCCGCTAGTTATTTAATATATATATATAGATACAAAAATATATATACTCACACGCACAGAGCACACACATACATTAGGGCAAATCATTTCAGCCTCCCCACTCTGAACTTGCCCCATCTCTCTCTCTCTCTCTCTCTCTGCAACTGCAAACTACAAAATCTGCGAGAATCAGAAGTTCAAAACCATATAATTCAGTTTATGTATCTGTCTGCAAGAATCAAAATTTCGAAACCTATTACCTACATAAAAACCCATATCGGCATATCATTTCAGATTGTTCAAAAAATCAAAACCCATATCCTTCAGTTTCCATCGCCGGCCGCTGTTACAGTTCGGGTTTGCCTTTCGCAAGCTTCAGCCGCTGGCCCGCTGTGTCTCAACTCTCAAGCCCCTCTCTCTATAACTGCTAACTGGTAAGTCATTTCTTCAATTATTCAATATAAATATTTTTAGGGCAAATCATTTCAGCCTCCCCAATCGCCTCCATCTCTATTTTCGTTCTCGACTCTGAACTTGCCCCCCCCTCTCTCTCTCTCTGCAACTGCAAACTACAAAATCTACAAGAATCAAAAGTTCAAAAGTCATATATTTCAGTTTATCTATCTGTCTGCAAGAATCAAAATTTTAAAACCTATTACCTATATCAAAACCCATATCGACATATCATTTCAGATTATTCGAAAATCAAACTCCCCAATCGCCTCCATCTTTTTCTTTTTTCTTTTTTTTGTTGTCAATTATGTCTACAAGAAAATTTGAATCTGGGCATGAAAAAAGAAAAAATGGTTACATGAATGAGGAGATTTTCATACGTCAGAAATGGAGATTAAATTATATGCTTACATTAATGTGGTTCCCAATTTTGTTGCTCACCAAATGGAGGAAAACAAATTAAACAAAAATTCAGAATGTTATTTGGACAAATTAACTGAAAGAAAATTGAGTAGTTGTATTGGCCAGTGGACTATGTTTGTGGAGTTCATCGTTCTATGAGGTCTTAGAATGATTAACAAATTAAGTTCTAAAATTTTATTTTATTTTATTTTTTTGTCACTATATTTTCGGAGCTCATTAATGGATTATTGTCGTGCAAGAGAAGTAATTCTTGGATTTTTGCAGGAGGAAATTCATGAGTTGCTTCTGAGTTTTGCAGAAGCTGGAGCCACAGTTGTGAGACTTAAAGGAGGTGATCCACTAGTGAGTTTTCATGTGAAAACTGTTAGAACAAAAACTTCTCAGCAAGAAACTTGAACAAGCAGGATTAAAAAAATATATGTAGAAACTTCAACAAGTTGTACCTTAGAAATGTCAACTTTGTTTTTTTTTTTTTTTATAATTAAAATTAGTTTTTTTGTCCTGAATTTCTGTGGGTGTATCAGGTGTTTGGGAGAGGTGGGGAGGAGATAGATTTCTTGCAACAACAAGGGATTGAAGTGCAAGTCATTCCAGGTACGATTGTTTGACAAAGTACAAGTCCATCATTAGAATTAAACTCTTTAGGCTTTGTTTTTCCAATTTTAATTTGACAATGAAATTTCCTCATAATATATTTAGTCTTCATTGTAATGGGATGATTTTAAGGTCCTTTGATTGGCATTGTTTGGAAGAGATCAAGTGATGGAATACCTTGATTTCCTTTATCACATAGAAAATTTACTGTTCATGAAGCAGACTAAAAGGGCGAAAGAAAAAAAAAATGGGCAGAAAAACAAACAAATATGAAAGAGTCACATTAATATATAGGAACGACTTCATTAAAACGAAAAATGTTGTGACCGATGATCAAATATACTATGCAAACATATCCACATAGGCTTTTCTCAAGATGCCTTGAGATTTTCGTTCTCTATGTTCTCATGTACAAAACAATCCCTGCATTGTTCTTTGACAAGTAGCATCATGTTGCCATCAATAGAAAAATGAGAGACAAGACACATCATGTTATCCCAAGTGAAGAGAGTACAAGAATAAAGAAGTATATGGAAGTTGATACTCTTTGTAAATGCCATCACACAACATGCATGACATTTTTTACTATGAAATATATAAGAGTGGACTCTCCATACGACCCCAATGTCACCATATGAGGATGGAGAAGATGGATGAAACTATATCATACCCAAAACATTTTTCAGTATGTCCTTCCTATTCCTCCTAATGCCATTGTTGTTTCTTCTGGCTGATTTTGTGTTGTTTCTTTGGTTAAATTACTTATCTTATTTACATGGAATCTCTTGTACCTTTCATTGTACCTGTGTCAATATAATTTTGCACATGTATGGATATGGCAATAGAACATGTGTTGACACAATGTCCAATTAAACAGGGGATGCCCTTCTCTTAACTTTTATGTGTGGTGATGTAAGAAGATTAAACTCAAATTTGATGTGGGAGAATGCTTCATATTTTTGAGATAAATGGAATTCCCTTTCTTCATCTATATTCATCCATTTAAGTTTTAACTAAGTTTATCCTTAAAGAACATAATATATTAATAGTATTACATAATATATAATTTATTCAAATATTTAGGATGTCTTTATGTAATGGTACCCAACTTTGCAACACATTTAGAGCCAAGTCCTTGTATCGTGAGACTTAGTATTGAGGAGGTTTGACACTTAGATACACATCCACACTCGATACACATACCTGATTCCATGTGGTTAGCCTTGGGGAGGTATTTATATAATTCATATCCTCAATGCTTTGCAGGTATCACTGCTGCTTCAGGAATAGTAGCAGAACTGGGGATCCCTTTTACCCACCATGGTGTTGCAAATAGTGTTAGATTTCTCACGGGCCACTCAAGAAATGGAGGAACAGACCCCCTGTTTATTGCAGAAAATGCAGTGGACCCTGATTCAACTTTGGTTGTTTATATGGGTTTGTCAACTCTCCCTTCTCTTGCACAAAAGTTGATACACCACGGTTTGCCACCCAATACACCAGCTGCTACAGTTGAGTGAGGGACCACGCCTGAACAACGCATTGTAAGCAAACATAATCCTCAACCTACGTTAATTTTTCTGTGTTTAAAGCTAATTTTTTATATTTTTTTCACCAAATGTCGTAGATTTCAACTTTTTGTCTTTCATTTTAATTTAATATCTGAATGCATATTCAATGTATCTGGTGCAAGTCTTAACTCTTAAAAACACAAGTCTATAGGATTATGGTCTCCATGGTTGAGAAAAAACTGAGAAAGTCTAGTTTGAGTTAAAGGGAGTGATAATGGTACAATTTGAGTAAAATAAATAGCTGCATTCATAAGCTTGCTATAATATGCTGCCAATAAACATTGGTCAATTTCTAGCAAACTATAAGAGCACCAAAAAGCTTATGATCACCAATTACCAAGACAGTGAGTAACAAGTGATGATTTAAAAAAAAATACATACTAGCATATGATATATCAGTTTAACATCCAAAGTCATAGAAAGGGAAGGGTGTGACAGATTATCCAAAAACAAAACCAACCTTTGATTTTGTTAACCAACCACTTGCTTCCTCCTTCAATACTGTTTGATAAGGACTATTTCATTGAAAGAAAAAGGTCAGTAGTAAAATGTTGCATAACTCATGCAAAACAAAGCAGTGCAGGCATAGTAAAATATCAATGAGCTGCCACATGTTCACATGCATTGACACATTAAATATGAGAACTGAATGAATAAATAAGGGGTTCATAAGAACTGCCGAGGACGTGAAACGATTCCATAGTTTTTTTATTACATGTGACTTCAACTTCAATTAAATTGATACAATTTTCAAGAATGCTTCAAGTGATGCAACTATTATCAATAATTCTTGTCAAAATTTAGTTTTTGGGTGAGTTGTGGCAACATTATGATATGGATTTGTGGTTTCTTTAGGTGCAGACATATTTCACCGAGTTGTGTTCTTATAAAATTAAAATCGCGTGCGCACATATATAATTTTAGCAACTTTACAACTTGCTTTGTATTCTCTTACTTCAACTATTACATTTTATAGGTAAAAGCTAGGATTGAGGGATTACGGTTCCGGTTAGTTTTTTTATTGCTGTTATATTTTTTGTATGGCTCATGAAGAAGTTTTTATATATGGAAGAAAGAGACTAAAACAGAGCAAGAAGATATGAAGAATTTTTGTTTTATTTTGGTTGAGTAAAGATATAAAGTGTGGATCATGTACTTCTTTGAAATTTGTATATATTTTTGTATAAAAACATTATTTGGAATTGGTTATATAAATATGATGTTATTGGCCAGTTGTAAGTTATTTTGGTTATAATGTTATTTTTTAGTTATAGGGTTTGCTTCTGGGGTCCTTGCAAGGCTAGTAGTAGGGCTAAAAAAAAAGGCCTCATAGTGGGCTATACACTATTTTTAAAAAAAAAATTATATAACACTTTCTACAACGGTTCTGCACCGTGGTAGAAAAAAAGACTTTCTACCACGGTGCAGAAAACTTTCTACCACGGTTCTATACCGTGGTAGAAAGTCTTCTACTTACTACCACGGCGGTTTCTACCACGGTTCAAAATCGTGGTAGAAAGCGTTTTCCATTATGGTAAAAAACTGTTTTTCTTGTAGTATTTCCAACTGGTGCAATGAAATTCTGTAAATAGGATACTTATGTGTAGCAAACAAACCCTATTCAACGCACAACAACACAACACTTTGCTATTCAATTTCAATTCATGTGTCTCTTCATTCCGGTAATGAATTTACATTATGTTTAAATTAAGTCCAACACTTTCCTTTCCTACTTTCTAGCAAGTAATCCATGACTCTTTCAATTGCAAGTCCTGCACTTTCAATTTCGTTCTTCTTTCCACTAGTTGTAGAGTCTTTTCAAATAATTTTTCAAAGCAAAATGAACCATTGGAAGTGGTCATTCCAAGCTTCCTTTTATTCGCATGATCCCAACAACTTTCTATTGAAATATTGTTTGGATTTTCTTTTTGGAAAAACAACAGTTTTTATCATGCCGGCAACCCTTCCACTCCCGGGGAACCTATTTTTGTGAGCCAAACAAAACATATATATATAAATTAACTATGTAGTACAGATTTAAAAACGTGCATTATAATAAATTCACGACTACTAATTTAATAAAAGCCGTTTGTATTTTTATTATCTTCATATAAACACCAAGTAGATGAGTTAAGTATTACATTAAATTTATCGCGCGCGTAATCATAGAATGACATTGCTAAATTTAAGATGGCCGGACGATTAAATCATGGACAATAATTGATATTGATTATATAATTCTAGCATTCCAATTTGAACGGTTAGGATTAAATTCTCTCTCGTATAAGTAATAAAGTTAGGAATGGTTGCAACTTGAATTTTAGTCCATAGACACTTTATTTGCTAAAAATGAGTTCAGTTGGAACAACAAAGCCTCATGCAGTGTGTGTTCCATACCCAGCACAAGGCCATGTCAACCCCATGATGCAGCTAGCCAAGCTTCTACACTCAAGAGGCTTTCATATCACCTTTGTCAATACTGAGTTTAACCATAAAAGGTTGGTTAAGTCCAAAGGGCCAGACTCAGTGAAGGGCTTGCCTGACTTCCGGTTCGATACTATACCGGACGGATTGCCTCCTTCCGATTGCGATGCAACCCAAGATGTCCCTGCCCTTTGTTACTCAACTCGAAAAAGCTGTTTGGTTCCTTTCAAAGAATTATTGATTAAGCTAAATTCGTCGGCTCAAGTGCCTCCAGTAACATGTGTAATTTCGGATGGAGTCATGAGCTTTGGCATAAATGCTGCGGAGGAATTAGGCATTCCGGAGGTCCAGTTCTGGACTGCCTCGGCTTGTTCCTTCATGGGTTACCTACATTACCGTGAACTCATCAAAAGAGGCATTTTTCCATTTAAAGGTAAAATTTATATTATTTGTTGCTTCTCATGTAGCCCTTTTTATTTATTTAAACTGCTTAAAATAATAAATCACTCAACACGCAAGCAATAAAAATAAATCTGTAAAAATGGGGTGAGAAAGACGAACCACGATTTTAATATGTGGAAAACTTTTATGACGAAAATCTGTAGAGACTAGCCAGCTCGGGCAAAGGAAAACTCAGAATATGAAGAGCATCTCACCCATGCAAACTCAAATGAATGTGTATGCTCTCAAATAATAAAAACATAATCATAGAAATTAAAACTATATATCTACTTTTTTTATCACAAACTTATTTTAAGCTTATCAAAGGGCTAAGTGGTCCAGTGGTACATGCCCTTACTCCTCAAATTACTGCTCACCTTCCAAAAAAAAAAATTTACTTTAAGCTTCAACAATGGTACATGAAACTCTTCATTTCTGTCTAATCAATTGCTGACTAAGAGAGGACTTTTTACAGCTAAGAGGGTCAGCTGATAATTAAATTTGTTTTATATCCTATTACAAGTCTCAAGTTTGGTTCATAAACTATCCATAAAATTTAATTATATATCTATCAGTACTCCACCAACCGATTGGGAACATATTACATTTACGTCCACTATTCATCCCATCTCGGTGTAATTAGTGTATTTACACAAATACATGTTCTTAAGTGTTGTATGAAGCGCTTGTCGTTCAATTCGCGGAATCAAGACTCTAAGAAAACATAAAACTACTACTCAATAGAAACATATTTCCTCTCACAATTCTGATTTGACTTGTAATTTCATTGGTTTTATTTATTATTATTATTTTTTGGGTAGGTATATGTCATGATTTTATTTAAGGATGGGACTTTTGCGGGTAAAGGGGTTAGTCCACGTCAAACTCAATGTTCTAACACCTTAGTCGTGCCAAGCCTATGTTCCGGAAAACCATCACGTCTCATCCCGCGCCGTACCGTACGGGTCTCACGAGTTTTTCGAATTTCCCGAGTCATCCAAAATTTTAACCATCTGCTAACTAATAAACATTAAAAATAAATAAAAATCGTTACGGTCTCTTGCCTAAACCGTCCAAAAGAATGGCAAAAATCAACCATGTGTAATATAATTTTATAACAATAATATGATCTCATATGATGGATGATTATGGATGATTGATGATGATATTATAAATAATTTAATTTTAAATATAAAAGTTATAAATTATCCTTGTATTTCGGGTTATTTGGTTTTTTAAGTTTCTCGGGCTACTAAAACTTTTGCCCAAATCACGTTCAAAATAAATTCAGACTCTAAAGTTTAAATCCAATCCCATCCCACGATTTTAAGTACCTTACCAACTAACGTAAAAATTTTAAACGAGAATCGAATTCCTCGGTCTAGTCCCACTCAAGTCTGACTCCTAATTTTATGTGGTCCTGTTTTGTTTTCTTAGTGGTTGGGAGGTTCTAGTTTTATGTGGTCCTGTTTTGTTTTCTTAGTGGTTGGGAGGTTTTAGGAACCTTTTTTAGACTGCTAAAAATATGTGTAAAAGGGCCATTTCTCCCAATGGTACTTTCTTTCCTTTCTAAAGGGTGATTGAGCTAGAGTCTATGATAATTGAAGTATGTGTATATAATATAGAGCATACAGATAGAGTGGTTGTCAAGCATAGGAAATGCTAATATAAAAAGACCACTCTACCTTCCTCTTACTACTTTTTTAAAAAAAAAAAAAAAATATTAGCCCAAAAGTAATAATCTTAAATATTTTTATTTAAAAAATGCTAAACATCACAAATGATGGTATCACAAAAATAATTCGAATTAGAAGGCCAATGACGTGGCTAATGATTTGACAAGTTATATATTGTAAAAGTAATATGATACAAAGAAAAAACATAGGAAAGATAATTATCATTAAATAAAGAATGGTAATTATCATTCTACTATATATAGATTGCTCAAAAACATGATCATTTTATAACATCATGTGTTATTTAAGAACAAAACTTCATTTTTAATGTCTTCAGATGAGAAGTTCAATCACGATGGTACACTTGACACACCCATTGATTGGATCCCTGGGATGAGAAACATACTGCTCAGAGACCTCCCGAGCTTTTTTAGAACCACCAACCCCAATGATATCATGTTCGACTTCATGGGAGAGGAAGCTCAACATTGCTTAAAAGCTCCTGCAATAATCTTCAACACTTTCGAAGAGTTTGAACATGAAGTTTTGGAGGCGATCGCGTCCCTGTTTCCGAACATTTACTCTATAGGACCGCTTCCTTTGCTAGGCAGGCAGGTCCCTGATGGCCAAGCCAAGTCACTTAACTCAAGTTTGTGGAAATTGGACTCCAAATGTCTAGAATGGTTAGACAACAAAGAACCAAACTCGGTTGTATTTGTGAATTATGGAAGTGTGACAGTAATGTCAGACCAACACTTCAAGGAATTTGCATGGGGGCTTGCCAACAGTAAGCATCCTTTTTTGTGGATTGTTAGAGCTGATGTCGTGGTGGGAGACTCAGCAACTTTGCCTGAAGAATTTTTTGAGGAGATAAAAGATAGAGGATTTATAACAAATTGGTGCCAACAAGATCAAGTGTTGTCCCACCCATCAGTTGGCACTTTTCTAACCCATTGCGGGTGGAATTCTACGACTGAGAGTGTGTGCGGAGGTGTGCCTGTGCTATGCTGGCCTTTCTTTGCTGATCAACAAACGAATTGTCGGTATGCATGCAAAGAATGGGGGATTGGAATGGAGGTAAATCCTGACGTAAAGCGCGACCAAATTGAAGCACTAGTTAAGGAAATGATGGAAGGGGATAGAGGGAAGAAAATGAAGGAAAATGCCCAGGAATGGAAGAAGAAAGCAGTAGCAGCTTGTGATATTGGAGGGACTTCTTACAATGACTTTGATAGATTCATCAAAGAAGCTCTTCATTATACAGAGTAAATAGGAGAAATTATTGCACGGTCCTCGGACTAATAAAATCATCTGCCAATACATAAGTAAATGTGTCAGTTTTATCTCTTTTTGCTTATGTGTCAGTACGTGATTGGCTAGGACCAATGGTCTTGGGTCCATGCAATAATTTTTCGTGTGTCTAGGAGTGTGGCTGAATAAAATTGACACATTTAGTTGTGTGACAACTTATAATTGGCCAGAGTGATCAAATAATTTCTCGGATGGTAGGACTTGTAGCTGGGCGTAATGATTTTCTGTGTTCTGTATTGATTAAGTTCCTTGTTTGATTTTAAAATTAAATGTAGTCTTGATTTTGGTTCTCATTTTTGCTACACTCTAGAAATTGAAATGTAGATGTAAGTGGCTTAGTGTCACAATGAGTCGGTTTCACGCAAGAAGTAGGGGTCTTTATTTGATTCTGATTTTATCCACTCCGTGCAATTCAAAATTTTCTTTTTTAGGTAATCAGTTTGGTCGTAGTTTGATAAACAAGTAATCCGTAGAAATCAATTTAGTTCACGGTAGGTCTAGCAAAGATGGTATTAGAAGTCCAAGTCCATCCATCTCTTTCATCCAACGAAAAGATCCGATATGGATTTCCTTAGTAGAATATTCCGCTCTGGTGTACTCCATTTCCATGAGCACGATTTATGAAGGCGATCCCCTTATCCCTCTTGGCTGTGTGTGGGCCACACTGAAGAAAGGCCCTAAAGGGGTCTTTCACTAACTTGTGTGAGCTCCCCGCCCGCTCACGCTACTTACCAACAACCCGGGGCTTCTTAGGAACACACCATAGGTTGGTCCAACAACCCGTTGGATCCTCGCCACTGCACATTAGTAGAAAAAAGTGAGTGAATAGGATCCTTATTCTTGCCATATGTGCTTAGACTTTTGCGCTTAGACGGGGATTTCCCCCCTTTTTTTCTTCCCGGTCCAATCGTTTTTCTCAAAGATTTTCGTTTCCGTGTAGAAGCAAACTCTCCAAATTTATGACCAACCTTTCCTTCAGTAATCTTACAATGAACAGGTGTTTTTCCATTGTAAATGCATACGTAGCAATCAACGAATTCCAGCGAAATAGAAGATCTACGTGACCGGTGTAACATCTATACTATTATTAAATGTGTAAAGCGTTTCAATATTTTAGTATTTATTTATTAATATAAAAAAATATTTATTAATTGATATAAAACTCTAAAAATTAACTTATAAAATTCAAATTACCTATATTTATTAATTGATATAAACTCTAAAAATTAACTAATAAAATTCAAATTACCTATTTAAATCTATATTATTATTAAAAGAGTTTCTATAAATTCAAATTACAAATTCCCTAATAAATCTATATTATTATTAAAAGAGTTTCTATAAAACTGTAACACAAAATCTATATCTATATCTATACTATTATTATAAAAGATAATGACATTCATCCGGCTTGGTCCAGTTATGATTATGTCCTTATCAGGAGAGGACACATGTCATCAGCTTATAAATAGAGGCATCGAAGAAAGAGAAAGGGTACAAAAATTGAGATTTCTAGAAATCCAAGAGGGATAATTTCAGAATAAAATACAGAAGTACCCAAGCCTTGAAGAAGAAGAGTAACAAGCACATCCAAAGTCGTACCATTCTTCCACAAATTCTCTGAAGACGAAAAATAACAAGCACATCTAAAATCGTACTGTTCTTCCTCAAATTTAACTTCAACAAAGAATAAGCATGGTATGGTCATCGATGTACAACCAAATTTGTGCAAAATAGTGTGGCCAATTTTAAATTTATAGATGCCACTACTACCTCTAATTGAAAATATAGCTAGGGTGAGTAGGGATCGTCCCAAGGGATTGTGGGTGCTCTAGCAATGGAAATAATGTATAGGTTAGTAGGTCGAGTGATCAAAAGTGGATTGTTTGGTTGATTAGACTACAAACTAAACTAAACAAGTTCAATGCAAAATAAACAATTTAAATGAAATTTAGAGAAAATAAGAGAGTGAGGTCTTGGGGTCTAGAGGTCACCACTAAACATCACCATTATAGACATTCAATGTATAATTAATGAGGGGACACATGTGTTGCAATTTGAGAGTGTGTGATTGATTGGTTCAACAAGCATAGATGACCAATTAAGCATATATTGTCTGAGCACCCTAGTAAATAGTACAATACATCAAACTAAGCCATTAATCCTTTCTTTAAGCTCACAATCCAAACACATCACATGGTTAGAGAATAATACTACTTGCATTTATAAGCATGGAACATCAAACAAAAAGCATGGATTGTCCTCCTATCTAACAATTAAGGTAACTATACTACAACTAAGCTAAGGGCATGAAAATTAAACTAAATAAACTAAGGGAGAGGCAAAATCCATCAAGACATGAGTATGAACCATCAAATAAACAACAATAGTATTCTATTAAGCACTATGTCTTGACAATCTCTAGATCCATAGCATCAACACACAAAGACATGCATCAATAACACAAAAATTAGAAATAAACACATGAACATCTATTTTAACATACATAGACATATGGATAGAATGAAATGATCAATTGAAAGTATTAAACCACACAAATCATTGAATAAACAAGATTTATATATAAAATAAGTGTCAAGACAAGATTACAACACAAATCCCCTCAAAATACAAAGCATTAGAGTCTAGAAGGCATGCTTAGGGCTAACTTTAGCCCTAAGAAGATGTTTAGCCACTCATTGAAGTAGCCATCCAACCCTCAAGGGCTACCTCCATAGTAGGAATGACCTCCTTCTTGATGGAAACCCTAGAAGAGTGGAAGAACTCCCAAGAATGTATCTCTAGCCTCTCATCCTCTCTTTTCTTCCTCTATAAGAATGTTTCTTAGTATATCTCTTAGTATATGTGTAAAAAGTAGCTCAAATCTTAACATAGGTAGCTCAAGTGTCACACCCAATGGTTTGGACTCGTGCACAAGGGCTCCTCCAATGATTGCATCACGAGACAACTTTTAATGAGCCGGAACATATTTTTTTTCGGACTTGAGGAGGTTCGATCGATCGAACTGTGGTGAGATCGATTGAACTTAGTTAAGATCCATCGAATGCTACAGAGATCGATCATTCTTGGCAGTGCCTTTTTGAATAAAGACAAATCTCTGAGATATTTTGGGATATTTTGGGAAAGAGACAAAAGTGGTTGGTGGGGTGGTAGGTAAGGATATGATCAAGTAATTTCGATCGATCGAAGATGATGGAATCTTTTGGATAAGAACAAGGGATTGGATCCATCTTGAAATGTCTAGATCAATCTTGCTCTGATCGATCAAAAGAATGTTGAGATCGATCGAACTTGCTGTTTTTCCATACTCTACTTCCACTTTGCTCATTTCTTCCATCCAGCTTGAGTTAGCTTCTTTAATACTCTTATTTGGCTGAATTAGCTTATTTTTGGGATAAGCACCTGAAAAGGGCAATAACATAAACTTAGTCTAAAACGAAAAAATAAGATAGATAAAGGTCTTAGGATACCTAAGCTTAAGGGGTTTAAATGTGCACTTTTCAGCGCTCATCATACCCCAAAACTTAAATATTGCTAGTCCATAGCAATGAACTACAAAGTAAAGGAAAGAAATAAACAACTATACAACTATGAATCTACAAAGCAATAAATGGATAACGCCACTTTCGTAGGGAACACGATTGTATCGCATGCAACAAGCCTTTTGAACCCCTAGGTTACCCCTAGTGGACGAGTGAAGTCTCGTGAGGGTTTCATACTTGATGAGGCTAGAATCTGGCTACTCAATGTAAAGGGTTTTTTATCCACCTTTATCAAAATGAAAGCTTTCAATGCACTACTAACTCAATTGGGAAATAATCAATTCAATAATCAACAAAGCATGTACCCCACAAATGAATGCTAGTGTGTGCCTGTGCCAGTGTAGAATCCTAAAGTGAATCTCAAAGCAATCACAAAATCAGGATGATGTGGACAATAAGTTCAAGCAAGATATCAATCTTTCAAAAAATTTACTCAAAATGGCATCCACAAGGCGTACAAGGAGTATTGGACTCTCAAGTCAAGCAAGTTTTAAATTCTAAGCAATATAGTCCTCAAAAGATCAAAATCATAGCTAGTTATGGAGCAATCATAGAAAATCCCTCAAATACACAAGTCATGCTTAAAATTTTGAATTGAAAGCAAACACTGCAATTAACACCATTACCCCCAAACTTAAATGACACAATGTCCTCAATGTGCAAAGAGAGCAAAGGAAAGAGTATACCAGTGCAACTATGGCAAAGAATGGCAGGGACACAAGTATCCAAAGTAAGTGGTATAACCCCCCCAAACTCGGGATTAATTGTGGTCCTGAAAAGATGGCACTTGGATAAACTTATCGGATAACAAAAGGAATAATAATAGTGCACAATGGACATGCAAGTGTAAATGGGATAATAAATGAACTAAGAAGAGAGGAATAAAGGTAGTCCTAAAAAAATTTTAGGCAGCACTCTCTTACTGAAGTCACTGGGATGCACCTGATAAATGGAGTCAATCACAGACAGATATATCAATATAAAGATATGACATCCAAAAGATAACATGTATAGAAAGAAAAATAATGTACTTCACAGTGTCTGGGCCAACAGACTGCCGCAAAAATATCATAACAGTATAAATAGAACAGTCAAATATCACATATATATAAAAATGATGAGAGTAAAGAGATAGAAAAATTAGGCAGAGAAGGTCAGGTGAGTGGGGCGTGATCCCCGAATATCTCTGGATATATCTCGCACCGCAGCCATGACATCTGAGCAGAAAGATGCCACATCAGTACTGAGGGAGGCCACATCGGATCGAAGAAAGACAACGGCGTCCTCCAAGGTCTTTATACGCTCTCCTAGGCCAGGTGTCAGAACTAGAACATCAAGTATGACTGGGTTAGGAGAATGATGATCATCCTGACTAGGCTCCGGGACATGTAATGG